TTGAAAAGGCAATTAAAACTTAAATACAGAACAGTGAATGATTAAAGACAACCGTGATAACAAACTGTATTATTTACCTATTTAAACATGTATATGTTCCGGACCTTATGAATAATTGGACCATGCTCGTATATACATGTACTCGTTTGGTTATTAACGGGCCGGACCATATGAGAATCTTGACCATATAGGTATTTTTCGAAGTATTTCTAACTTCTGTCGTAGTAACACACAGCTAGTTCTCCGGTCCAATCAAAACCGACACAAGCTAATAACTGACATCATGTGTCTTTGATATATTATCCGCATCTTAGTGTATCTGTAATTTTGCATTGCCTACGGTAGAGTCAATTTATAGCGCCTTTTTCGTTCGTATGCAAAACCATATGTGTAAGGGGCATGGACCTTTTTGTATTTTCCCTGTTGTAAAGATTCTATTTTTATTAATATTTATTCTAATTTCTACATCTTTTTACTTAATGTATGTGTGCATGCTCCTCTTTATACGATCATACAAAAAAGTAGTTTGTACATGCTGTAAATCTATTCTAAATTTCCATAAAAGAATAGAGAAGCAGAACGAATAAACTACACTTTATTGTTAAATTGCGTGAAAAGGAGCATGAACACATTAAATTACTAAAATGACTGCTTCAATGGTCATTCATACCATAGGCAATTTACAGTAAATCAACTTTTCGACATTCATCGTACGATAACCCGGACCATACACGTAGGGTCGGACCATTTGAGTATATAACGCATATGATCATGAAAATAAATCGTCCGGAACATATATAATCTTAATATGTATAAACTCTACCTGCTTCGTTATGTATTAGTTACTAGTTGATAAGCTCATCTAGGATAAAAAGCTTATAATTTAGTATGCTAGATACACGATCTGACACGGTAAAATCAGTGACAATAATATTACATTTAACCGTTTTGGACCGACATCGGATATAAATCACTATCAATTATGTATATCAAATTTGTATCTGGAAAAATCTTTCCGAATTTCGGGTTCTCAATGCTCCCCAACTTCGAATTTTATTTGGCCTTTTTATCTTTTTGATTCGAGAGTCACTGTTGAGTCTTTTGCAGACGAAAAGCGCGTCTGGCTTACAAAATATCACTCCTGATATCAATAATAACTTTATTTCTAATCTTAGCATACAAGTACATATTTACACAATCGTTTTTCATATCAAACTTTAAGGCTAAATCTTTTTAATTTATAAGAAGAGTTTCGTGAAAAAGTAATGCTTAGCGAATAATCAATTATGTTCAATTAAAGTTGCTAACTAAGTTTTATCTTATTTGTCAATATTTTAAATTTTGCACAGGACAAGTAAATATGTATATATACAGTATATGTAGAATGTCGAGCGTTTCTCTTGTTTCGTAGCGAGTACGAATACATTTTGTATTTTCCACAATATACATATATTGTTTTTATCCTGCAATTTCCACCCGGGCTTTAAAGGTTTAGTTGGGTTTAATCCAATTTTCAGAGAATTCAACATAGTTGAAACACGGCCCGCAAAGAGGACACCAAAATGAACTGTCACACAAAAAGAAATATTTACATTACCGTTTGCTCAATATGGAAGCGGAATAAAAGAAGACTTATTCGGGATACATATATTTATTATGCTAAAATCGAGTAAAAGCTACCCAATTGGGTCTATTAGAATCAAGTGTAACAAAAAAAGAAGGCTTTCATCAACATATGGTAAATGTTTCATTTCAGGGGGAAATATTTCAGAGAATCGATTCTTATAAGAACTCTGTTTGGATATGGATGACAATTTCACAATAGATGGCTGTCCATCATTGTATCTTGACACAAGCAAACTTCACTTAGTTTTTGAACCATCACTCGAAAGCTCAAATATGGAATGCCAAGGAATAGAAAACAAGACTAAGGAAAATTTGTTCAGCCTGTGTAAAGACGATATATTTTCAAGATGTGATGTCAATCCACATGCTGTTATTGGTTCTAAGGAACAGGAATGTATGGTTTACAATAAAGATATTGTTTTAGAATATTTTTGTACAGGTTAGTGAATATTAAACAATTATATTCCTTATACATACACCATGTACACCCGAAAGGTAAACATGCAAAAGTGATTCTGTGTGTGCACGTACTTTAAACATTTCATATAGTTTTGACATCTAGATAATAGTTAACTTGTGATTTCAGATTATAGATTCATCAACATTTCCCTCCCTTATATTAGTATATCCATATGTAAAACTCCGAACAAATCTTAAACACTGCTTAGGTAAATAATACAATTTCACGTTCAACCGTCAAATAGCAGCAAACAACATACGAGTTAAAGACAAATGTTGAGGCGAACTTTCCGTGTTGTCTTTATAGCTCTTGGAATATTCTAGGCAAACGCTAGATTCTCTTTTGTTTATATTCTTTTTATTGTTATATCTAATATGTAGCTTCATTCATCTGGGCATTAAGCATTCCTCATACAGGAAAATCCGATACAAACAAATTGAATTATAAATGACTAATCAACTAAAAGATGATGAGTAAATATTAATTAAGAATTTAAATTACTCCAAGACTTACACTAAATGTTACCACCTACATGTATTGTACCTCCCAGTAATTAAAAATTTTATTTTCTATTTTATTTTCTATGTCAAAAGTCGAACACATGAGGTATCAAGTTATGCTTGCAGTAGAATTAGGGTAGAAAAACTGTATATCGCCATTTTGGATTGTAAAATAGCAGTACACATCGGTTTAGTTGTTTGTTTAAATCTGCAAGTTTGGACACAGAATGGCGATTTACGTGTTATACTGTTAATTCAAATAAAGAATAAATAAGGAATATATTGTATTATTTATACAGCTTTTACAAAAACCAAATAGCTGTGTTTGTTCATTTCAATTTATCAAGTTAGCCATATAAGAGGAGATAACTCTAAAAGGTAAAAACAATTTCTATTAACGGGAATGCGCGATATATGTTAATGATATTTTCATTTTTTTACTTGTATCAATGTTCGCTGTACCCATTATCTAAAGCATATTATAAAAACGTATCTTTTCATCTAATTGTTCGTTTTCTTTCTCTTACGTTTTGTAGGGAGGTCTTTTAATGTCAATATCTAATAATTAAACTTTGACGGGCGTCTGCAAACATGTTCAACCCCGCCACATTATGCATGTGTTCTAAATCAGGAGAATGCAATTCAGTGTTTGTCATATTGGTTTTTCGTTAACTGTTTTGTTCATAAATCCAACCAAGTGATAATTATCTTTAGGCCGTTAGGTTTCTCTTTTAATAGGTTAACATTTGTCATGAAGTGGCATTTTAAAGCTTGCTGTGTGGTATGGGTTTTTTGCTCATTGTTGAAGGCCGTTTGTTGAATTATAGCTGCTAACTGCTACGTCATTTCGTCTCTGGTGGAACGTCGTCTCATTGGCAATCATATCTAATCTTTTTATTTGTATACTATATCTTGTTTTTGGAAGGGATAAACTATACTAGTTTGTAAAAAAAACCACTCTGATCCAAACAGAAAATTCTCTGATGATAACATCTTGAAGATGCTTGTTTTAAATATTGACATAAATTTGTAACGTTTGGAGGACGTGTTTTTTAAACGAAAAAGCTGCATCACTATAGGAACCAATTCTTTTCTTCTTCTTGTTCCGTTATTCCTGGAACAACCTTCATACAGTAGCTCTTCCGAAAAAAAAAATAGAAGCTAGCAATTACCTTTACCTTCACGTTCCGCTATGCAGTTCGTGTCTGCTGATGCACTGAATAATTCAAAATTTTACTAAGTTGATTGTATCAACCACGTCTTACTGGATACAATGAAAATGGGGAATGTGTCAAAAAGACAACAACCCGACCAAAGAGTAGAAAACAGCCCAAGGCCACTTATGTGTCTTCAACGAAGCGAGAAGTGGGTCCTCAATGCTCAAATTTCGTAAATTTTTGAGCTTTTTAAATGTTTGATTCGAGCTTCACCAATGAGTCTTTAATAGACAAAACGCACGGCTGGTGTACACCTTTTATTTCTGATCTATTATAAGTTTTTTAACACTACATTCCTGAGCATGTGATTCAAATCATGATTTCAATGATAGGGTGCCATTTATTTATTTGTAAAACGGTGCAAGACATTTATTTTTTATCAAAAAAGTAACAAATGCCCCAGAGTGCATGGTGCTTGCACGATTGTAATGAATATATGTATAACCCTAAACTTTCAAACACCGATAATAAGCACGTGTGTGTAACGAACCTGCCGGTCATTTGTAGGCGGTACATAAGGTCAGCACAGTGAAACAGAAATTTCTCAATAAAGATAATGATCACATGGTTGGATTTAGTCATAAAATCTACGAAGGATTCTACTCAGAACATATGTAGATTTGGTATGTTTATGTATATGCGTACTGCAGAACACTTATCTAAACACTGACCACTCTTTGCCTCCCAAATATAGTCTTTTTTTGCTTTCCGTTCATTTGTAAAATAACAGTAAGGTATTGAAACTTAACAAGTGCATTAATAGCAAGACTTTAAAAGTCTCTGGGAAAACTGTTAACTCTTAAATAAGAATGTGTTGGGAAAATAATAGTATCAATGATTCCAGGCAAAATTCAAAATACTTGTACGATAATGAATCAAAATGCAGTTCTTAAAAAAATGGACAAAAACGTTGAGTAAAATTTTCACCATCGTCCACGGGCCGTTATTCCGATAAAAGTATGTCACCAACAGAAAAATGAAATTTATCTGTAACTTACTATTATTCATTTAGAAATCAAACACCAGCCTAATAAATGGCGAAAAAATTAAAGTCACACTAATGGTGCTTAGTATAAGTCATTGATCAAATACGTGTATAGATTTAAGGGTTAATGCTTTTAAGCATGTTGAAGATTGTCTTTGGTTTCATCTTCACGAGGCTTGTTTCAAAGTAAAAACAAATCTTCTTTTAGCTGAAACATCCACGATAGTTCCCAGATCAAACCAAAAGTCTGGTAAGAAAATGTGTTAATCAAATCAGTTATAATTCACTAGAACTTTATGTTTTCAAATTATTGAAATCATGTACCATAAAATCAGAAGGATTTAAACAATAATCTTTAGTTATCAACCAATCAAATGTCAGACTTACGTACGGATAATGGGATAACTGTAATTGTCTTTGACAAACATATTCAGTAACGTTCAAGCAAGTCCTATTTTTTTAGCATTAAACTGTTCCAATATTATGACAATGGAAAACACACTTTTTGTTGTTTCAAGGTTAAAAACCATTATCAACGGGACACGATAATAAAGGGAAAAATTACGAGTATAATGCATTAGGGTGTGTAACATATCAATAATAAAACAATAAGTGGTACTTGGAGCTAAAATTTATGTATCTATATTTTGCCAAATCCTAAATATTTTAGATATTTCTTCAATGATACACCAGTCCAGCAATACAGCTGCAACCTTAAAATGAACGGTTAACATGGTTAACACACGGTTTCCGGCAGTAGACAATTTACAAATCATAAATCTGTAACGAACATTTATTTCGTATAATGAAGAAAAAAAAAATACAAGGGCACGTATTATCTGCCCTATGTCCAGTAACAAATATTTCATGCGTTCACGACGAGAAAAAATGATAGAGTAGATACAATATGTGGGTCCTTAAAACATGTTAAAAGTGGGTCGACCGAGATATCGATGATTGGCGGGAATTTTGAATGCTACTTGAAAATGATGGTATATTGGATATTAACAGGCCACCTATGGTCGAATCAATGAGGAAGGATTCTTAACTTGCACAGAACTAAGCACTATATCTACAAAAAACAACGGATTTAACGTTCTTTATCTGTCCGAACTTGACTGCGATTTTATACATCACGTACACTCAAACGGACGCATAACTTTGGCAACGATTTAATTGCAGGTAGGAAGCTGCCCAACGGTTGACAATATATCGTGCCCCAGTCAACCATTGTGGTGAAAACATACATTTGTTTTAGGCTTATTAATTATTTTGCGAATACTTGAAAACCAAGGATGTATAAGAACTGAAACAATTGCAGAGCTTTATGACCCAAAACAACTACAAATAATACCCCAATTAATCTAAGATCAACGTTACGTAATGGAGTTGAAACCTTAGTTTTATTGAAGGACAATTTTAGAAAGGGTTGTTATAAATCATGTCAGTACCAAAATACTGACTACTGTACTGATAATACCAACAACTGAATCATTTTATTATTACATTGGCTGCAATGAAATACGACGATTCACATGTGAAATAAATTCACATCTCACATTGGTTGTTGTCAAGACATTGTCTATAACATAATATCAAATCAATTTGAGAATGCATAGACAAAAGATATAGTCCTTTTTCTTTCTTTTCTATCTTATTTCCATCAAAATAGTTCTTGGTAAATGTAATAATAAAACAAACTTCTTAAAAATCCAGATATCGAAAAATATTCCACTCGTGACGCAAATTCCTAAATTAATGAGCTGTTCACTCATTTAATAATATTGTATATTTACATTCTTGGATTAGTTATTTTATAATTATTTAAGCTGTTTCATGAGCAAAGTTACTTCTCTTGTCAGATGTCAGAATCTATGACAAACGAGACAATTTTAATTTTGATATTATCAATTTCCCCCACCTTAGTAGCAATATACCAACTTCACCTGCATATGGGATTTACATTTCCCAACTTATTCGGTATTCAAGAGCTTGCAGCTGCTACTCAGACTTTGTAAAACGTCACAAGTGTCTGAGCAGAAAGTTGATGAACCAGGGGTATGTTAAAGAACGTCTCGTCCCTTTTCTATAAAAAAAGTTCATCGGAAGGTACTAAGACCTTGTTGATAAATATTCCGCATCAACTTCACAAATAATACACGATGGTCTTGAAGTATAGATTCTGGGTACTGACGCTTTTTATCATCTTAATAACGTGTTATAGTATTCTTTTATTTGTATTTTTGAAATATTACTTTTACTGTTTAGTCTATTTTTGGTGTTATTCATTTGACGTGGCTCAGTACTTATACATCCCTTCATTGTGTTATTGTGCTATGGTAAATTTTTGTATTCTTGTCTTTCATTTTTGCTTACATGTATGTGCTTTGTCTATATGCCTTTTTGTGTTTCTTTGTTACATATGTGTTTGTTTTCATAGTGATTAAGATTATAACACAATGTCGACTGTTGTACTCCTATTTTGACATTTTTACATATTATGTCATTGTCAATACAATGGCATTTTATGCAACTGTCATAAAAATGTGAGAGGTTTCGCTAGCTATAAAACCAGGTTTAATCCTCCATTTTCTACATAAGAAAATGCCTGTACCAAGTCAGGAATATGACAGCTGTTTTTCATTCGTTTGATGTGTTTGAGCTTTAGATTTGATTAGGGACTTTCCGTTTTTGAATTTTCCTCGGAGTTCGGTATTTTTGTGATTTTACTTTTTTCATTTTAACTGACGGTCATAAACTAACTATAACCATAGGGTGTGAGAGGTGTGCACAACAAAACGGGTATTTTTTACTGTTGAATTCATAATGTTTATTAGTTTATCATTACCGAATTAGGCTACATCAATTATGTTTTTGGGGATTTTAAAGTTTAAGGTTTAGCGAGAACACTTTAAATTTATAAATAATAGTATGACCACACATTTGAAAAAGAGCAAGACATAAAAGTATGAAGTCAATCAGGTATTTCAAAATTGAAGCACAATGAAACTATAATTATTTTTTTCTTACCTAAAAATGTATACAGGCAAATACAGTTTCCATGAATGCATTATGGCCATACTTCCCTAAAAATGACAAGTTCAATGCTCTTGCTGTTTGATTTAGGATTGTTTATTATTTTGCAGCTGGTATCCCAGTAATGCTCGTATCTACACTGGTTTTCATAACAGTTGCTGCTTTAGTGATCATCGTAATTGTTTTCAACAGGAAGAAGAGATCCAAAAATTTGAAACCCTGTCACGCTCAACAGAATACAACTGCAACAGAGAAGACGGATTCATCGGACTACAACGTAATAAACTATAATGAAATGACAGATATTAGTATTCTTAAGATGAATGAGAACATGAATGAAACTCATACAACACAACGTCTAGCACAAAACATTAAAACTTCAACTAAACAGGAAGATATCATTTGCAACAAATACGAATCATTATCAACTAATCGAAACTCAGTTGAACATACTTATGAATCAGACTCAATCCACTCCGATCAATATGAATCATTAACAATACAACGGGAATTAGATAAACATACCTCTGAATCTACAGAACATGCATTACCACAGGACATTAAAACTTCAATTAAACAGGAAGATATCATTTGCAACAAATACGAATCATTATCAACCAATCGAAACTCAGTTGAACATACTTATGAATCAGACTCAAGCCACACCAATCAATATCAGTCATTAACAAAACAACGGGAATCGGATATACATACCTATGAATCTACGGAACATGCATTACCACAAGACATTAAAACTTCAATTAAACAGGAAGATATCATTTGCAACAAATACGAATCATTATCAACTAATCGAAACTCAGTTGAACATGTTTATGAATCAGACTCAATCCACACCAATCAATATGAATCATTAACAAAACAACGGGAATTTGATAAAAATACCTATGAATCTACAGAACATGCATCACATGTATCGAAGGAACAGGAGCTATCTCAATATGAATCGCTTACTAACCCTCAAGAATCGCATAAACATGTGTATGCGTCTTTAGGGTCCCCACAATAACGTGATCAGGCAAAACACGGAGTTGGTTATTGAATATATATTTCTTATATATGCATTACTGCTTGAAGTCTTTCAACATAATGTAAGGGTTTGTATGTCAAATAATTCAAAATGAAACGAATATTGATGCAAAAGAGGGACTAAAGATACCAGAGGGACAGTCAAACTCACAGATCGAAAACAAACTGACAACGCCATGGCCAAAAATAAAAAGACAAACAGACAAATAATAGTACAGATGGCACAACATAGAAAACTAAAGACTAAGCAACACGAACCCCATCAAAAACTGGGGGTGATCTCAGGTGCTCCGGAAGGGTAAGCAGATCCTGCACCACATGTGGCACCCGTCGTGTTGCTTATGTTATTACAAATCCGGTTAATAGTCTAATTCGGTAGGTCACATTCGTGAAAAGGGAAGGGTATTGTAGTTACGACATAAGGAACATATCCGATATCATCTATGAAACGGTTATTCCATAACGGTCAACCAACTCGTGATGGCGTCCGTAAAATTTACGAAGGGATGATCTCAACTTCACCATTTGGAACTCTTGGTTTAATAGCTTCCTTGTGAGCAGCAATCCTCTATCAAGGAAATCATGATAGGAAATACAAGCCCGGGAATATCGTATCAATTGGGAGATACCATGTCAGTGTGATAGGAATATATACATATTGGGTTCAATTTAGACTTGGTTGTACATATTTATATATATATAAGAGTCTATATAAAGCAAATAACCAGCAAACAAAAACATATGGAACATCTAACGTCTAACGTATGGAGGGGTGAGCTCGCTTAACACATAAAAAAAACTCATTATGTTATCACATTTTGAAAAGGGATTCAGAGTCACACCGATGTGATGATGGTTATTTGTTGTGCCGTAATTTTTGTCGGAGTAATATTTCACATTAACATGTGGTTTTTACTATTAAATTTGTTGTTGAAATAGAGTATGATTTAATTTTATATATGTGACAGTTTTAGATTTGTAGCATATTTAACGTTTTTAGATACAAGTTTATTTTGTTATTTTAAGTATATTGTATTTCTTCCTGAGAATTTTCAAACATACAATACATTATTTTTAAAAACTCTTTAACTTTGATTTTCAAATACTACGTTTGTTTTGCATTTCCATTTTTTTTCGTAACAAATGAAAATTATTTTTCGTATATGGAAATATGATAAACTAGTCCTTAACACTATTATCCTCTTCGTATATGAGTTAAAGGAGAGCGACGCATCTTCTAAATAATAAATCATTCTTCACATAGTGAAAATAAAACTTGACAAATTTGGTGAATCCTAAGAGCTAATTAATTATTAAGACATAAGTGCATTTCATTTCATAATCTTCTTAATGTTTCCAATCTCATTAATTATATTTTTAATCGAGGTTTTCATCCTGAATATGCTATTTGACATCAGGCAAGCACAACCAATCAATTATTTGATATTTTATTCCCTTTGCAATTATTATATAGGAAAATGTATTTTATCAACGAATACTTTGGTGTAAGCTATGTTGTTTAGGATGTCTTAAAATGTTTTATATTTTATTGTTTGGAAGATAGTTGAAATACAGATTTTGTAGATGCAACATTTTCCCTACTGTTTTCATAAATTAATATTATATATTATACATATAGCATTGGTGATTTGTCTAAACGTTTTTCTACCTTTATTTGCATTCATAATATTGTATTTGTAATTATGAATGCGAGTTTCATTTGAAATTTACTGGCGCTTTCGTGAATAAAGATCTATAAACTTATGTCCAGTTTTACTCATTATTTTCACCAGCACCATGTGACCACAAGGATGGCTGTTGCCTTAGCCGATCAAAGCATTTAAAAAGATGACCATCCACAGACTCAAGTTTGAAAAGAAATATTCCAAAATTGGTTTTGACTATATTTTATACAGTAAGTACGTAAACATGGTAAACCGACTGCAGAAAAAGAGAAGCGAAAGATACCAAATGGACATTTGAACTCATTAGTCGAAAAACAATAACAATGCCGTGGCAAAAACGAACCCCACCAAAAATCGAAAGTAGGACAGAAAGTCATAGGACAAAAAGTTACAGACAAAAAGTCATGGACAAAAAATTACAATTCAGTTTTGATATTATTTTTTTTGTATGACATGTAATATTCGAAACGGTTTCCGATGATGCCACTGACGAAGCTTTAAACATTATTGTTAAAAAATGCAAAATTGAATTATTTTCTTTACTATGAATCTTTTTTTTAGTAAATATTCAACATTATGTTGGCATAAGTTTTCTATGTTGGGTGTGTGTGTGTGTATTGTTTGTCTTTTGAGGGTTTTGCATGTTTTTTTTTAAAAGCATTATCAGTTTCTTTTCGACTTATGAGTTTGAATATCCCTTTGGTATCATTTGTCTCTCTTTTTCATATTCTTTGTAAACATTCCATCAGTCCATCTCTAAAATGTAACTAAGAGCTATTAACAACTCTGTAATTATATAATTATGTAGTTATAAATACTGATATGAATACAAATTGAATATTTGCGAGACATACAGGACCTTAATGAATATACTCCTTTGATATGAAAATCATAGTTCAACAGAAAACATGTAAAAGTATACACGTTAAATGCACTTACGATTGGCAATAATAAGAACATGAACAGAGTATCAAAGTGATGATTTGATTAGGAAACGAATCAGTCCTTGCTTAATTTGAGGGTCTGGATTAGAGGAGGGGGCCTTCATGTCTTAATTCTTTATTTTTAGACCAGTTTGTTCCATTTTTTTCATTTATTTTGCCCATTATTTTCTATTCTTTATCATTTTTGTCTCTGGTTATCTATATTTAATTTGTTTGCCCCTTATTGGGCGCTATTTCCAAATTATTCTCTATTCTGTAAACCTCATCCACATCGTCTCATATGATGACAGATCATAGTTCATGGAATTCGCACAAGTTTAAAAAAATGTTCCTTCAAACCTGAACTTCTTCTCTTGGTTATTCCAGAAGTTGTTAAAACTTGAATTCCAAAAATTAACAGTCTAATTATATATACTAAGACATACTTGATATTTTTATATGTCTGTAAACATACATGTACACATGAAATCAAAATGTTATTCAGCGCTGCATACATGAACATTACTTCAGTGTTGCTGAGGCGGCGTAAAGCAAACATCAATAAATCATTAAACGGTGATGATGAATTATTTGATTTGTTCATTATCTGAAAGACAAAACAAAGCTTTATGTCCAATGAAATTGTGGTTTTTCTAAAGAATTTCCTTCTTTATTTTGTCGATATTTTTTTTAAAATTTTTATACAAATGTTTCCTAGACATTTATAGCGTCCTATACGATATCAGTTAAATGTTAGAAAGCCATACGTTGGCATTTATTTATGAATTTGAAACTTGAGGTTTGTTTCTTTTACAAATCATATCTCTTCGTCACTGTTATAATATTTAATTTACATTTCTGAAAGTTTTTCGTTGATAAATTATTATATTGCTAAGAAATCATTGAACACTTACAATTCTACCACCAGCAGGCACAGATGATCTTTGATATATTGGGATATTCTTTTTAGTTTACTTTGGATTATTGCTTCGCAATTATTTATATATCCTAGTTTTCAAATTATTTGTTTGTAGTATTCTTAATAGAAAGATAAATCTAGAAAAGTTCTTTAAACGCATCAATTATATAGTTTTTTTTTTTTCTCATGCCAAATTAATTCAAATAATTACATATTTTTTCTCAAAACCTATAAGATTTGGTGTAAAAACAGTATTCTACTTAGTTAAAATCATCTCCCCATCAAACCTACTACTTTTGTTCAATCATGAAAATGGAAGCCAGTGAAGCCTACAATGGATAACGCTGTCAATTAGGCTCTTGAAAAATCAATAAATCCTACCACATGGCATCATTATGATCCTTACGAAACATTTTGGTCATAATACTCTACAACTGTGTCGGTTCATTTACATCCTTGGCTTTCGAGTATTTGGTTTTGAACGTTACTGATGAAGGTAAATCCAGAAAAGCGCTTCGGATGCATGAAATTTATGAAGTGCTGTTTTCTTTTTTACACGACATAAATGACAACTATCTATCTACTAGCTATCTTTTAAATGTACGTTAAGGATGTTCGTTCTTCTGTTTTGAAATAATCTGCTTTTAAAGACTGTTATAGATTGATAGTATATCAATACAGGAACTTAAAAAGCAGAAAAAAAGAGAGGTCCGTGTCCTTATTTTGTGAAATAATCGTTTAAAAATTTGACGGGAAATGATTCTCTCTAGATTTTTCATACATTTAATATTGACACCCTTTTTCTTTCAAAAACTATGAAAAATAATAAAGATTATATAAGATTGTCAAACATTGATGTTTAAATAATATGTAAGAAAACATTAGGAAAAGAGAACTTGGGGTTAGCGGGCAACATTTTTATTGGCACTACATGGATAAAACTAGACGATTTTGAATACCTGACAAAAAGTAAATAACAAGAGTATCGAACATCCTTTAGGCCTTCTGTCGCATTTAGATTATTGTTTGATTTGTCGTCATGGGAGCTTCCGAAAGTAAAACAAAACGCTTAAAAAATTATATTTTCAGATGTCGCCAAAAGTAGTCTTATTATTTTGATATGTTGAAGACTAATTATCCAGTTCAAGATACCCCTAACACACACATTCTTTTAAAAATTGACTGATGCATTCTTAAGATCCACAAGTAAAGCCTGTAGTCAAAGAGTTTTAGTAAAAAAAAAAGGGTGTGTTCGGGAACGTATTGTAGTTTTCGACTTTTTCCTTTTTAGTACATTTCATCAATCCAATAATTAAAAAGAATTGTTTATAAGCTCCATACTATAACTTGAGTATAAAAATGCATATAAGGTGGAAACAGTCGAAAATTATACGCCTATTTTAAAACTTGCAAATGCTATAGAAACATAAGTAAACAGTTCAAATATAATCTCTTGTCCATTTTTACGTTCTGTAATAATGAGTTCCATTTATTTTGCTTAATTTCAAATAGATATCAGCCTGGAAAACACTCTTCATGCATTTAAAGATTGGTCACAAGTTACGAACTACTCCATAATGTCGCTCGAACATCAAAGTAACCACATGAAGCTGTCATACTGTGATTCTAGCAAATGATGGAAATATAAGACAGAAAGACATTGCCCTGGTGTGTTATGAATCATGGGATAAATTCTACTTTCTTTTCCATATAGGAAAAAAATACACATGTTAAGGCAATTTTTTTCGAATTTGATTGTACTCTAATTTTCGGTGTTGGTGATTCTCTCTCTAAGCACAATAGACATGCTTTATCGAGTTCAGAAAGTGACTATGATACATGTCCGAAGGGAAACTGTGCCGCTACCTCCAGATGGTGGTATTGTGCTTGTGATGATGTATCACTGACAAAATGTTTCCTCAGTTTTGCATTCAAAATTGAAAAGAATTTAAAATGATGTTTTTACATAGTGATTAAAAATTATTTCTACTAAAATGAAAACTACTAAATGTTTCCTGACTTGCATATTCTACAGTGCTTTAATCTAAACTGCTTATATCACACTTACAGGTATGTGTATTTATAAAGAATCTATGGTATGCTTACATGACTTTCGATCTCAGTGTCATAGTTTCAAAACTCAAATATTCTTCAACGCTACAGATTTTGAAAACAATGATTCCAATTTTAAATGTTTTTTGTAAAATAAAAAATCGGACATCAACAAAAATTAGTAACTTTGTATAGAAAATATAATATATGGAATATTCTAATGTGATTTTGATTTTGATGTAAAATATCATTCTATAATTTTGCTTTTTTGAGAAATAGTTATTTAGCATTTATATTTATTATTTTTACCCGATCGTTTCCGCTAAATGAATCACAATATAGTTAGTTTTATATGAAAATGTTTATGGACTTGTTTGTCGTTTAGCCTATTTCATTGGGTTTTTTAATTATTTTTTTTTGCATGGCATTTTCAGTTTCCCATTCACTTTTGCAGTTTAACTGACCACTAGTATCGTCTGTCTCTTTAATCTGGACACCGTGGATTTGACTAGGATCAAGGATATAACATTGCTTTGTATAACACTTATATTTCTTTAAAACGTGTTTATACAAAATTTGATTTATTACTTCAGTCTAGTTTAATGTTTCGAAAGAAAAAAATACAATATTTAGTATACAGTTTTGATCACAAACTGCCAATTATTTAAAAGTTACCTTGATGGCTACAGATTTGTTTGTTTTTCTTTGTAAATACAAAACTTTTTGTAAATATATCTTCCTGTTGATTGTCATTATCATTGTGTTACAAAAGATGGTTTATGGAAGTTAATGGTCTTATTCATTTATCAAATTCTTCCTTGTAGTAAAGTTCACTAGAAGTAAATACACTCAGCTAAAACATGTGGTGGAGTTTAATTTTTAATCTAGGAATAAGTACTATGATAATAGTCACAATAGCAGGTTAGTCAAACAATTCAACGTTTATATAATAGTATTACTATATTATACGACTTTACTTTTTTTCGAATTGCCGTGCAGCCATTTTAGAGTAGATCAGCAAGTGCTACGATAGTATTTCTGAAGACTAGCTTTCCAATATTTAAATCGCCCTGAAACCATCACAGTGCGCTTTTTATTAGAAAAATTAAGCTGTCTCGAGTGCAAAACAGATTCTCAAATATACGATGCATTGATAGAACTCAAATTTTCTGGACCATTCATCTAAGTTTCAGTCTCAGGTTGAGAAAAAAAACGACTACAAAAGCTAGACTGATGAATATATAAATTGTACTCTTATCAAATATTAATTCATAAATCGCTACCTTTCTCATCAATAACTCTTAAACTTCATGTATGATATTTGTCAATGTCGCTCGTGCTAAATTGCTGCCTTCGGTGAACCGTGAAATTGAAATCAAAAACATAATTTGACATATAATTTTAATAGTGAACATGATATTGAACATGTGTGCTAGGTTGCACGTTGATGTTAACACAATTTGATGTGAACTTCTTTGACCACAAACTTCAACCTGATACTAGACAGATAAACGAACAAACGGACGGACGCATATACCAGAAACATATTGCTCGTCTATGATAGTAGAATTTGGGCCTTTTAGCCTGCGTCGCGAAGGCGGAAGCAAGTCTAGTAACCGGTCTACTCCGTCAATCCGTCCGACAGAAAACGTTCGTCAAAGTTTTCGTAGCTTCAATGAAAGGAAGGGATTTAATATTTGATCTGTAGCATAATAGTGTTGAGTTGTAGTGAGTAAGGAATTTCTACATATGTCGTGTAGCCACTTCCTGTTTGAGGACAGTTGACAATTTTTTGACACTCATTGTACAAGGAAAATGTTCGTTAAAGTTTTCTCGGCTTCAATGAAAGGGAATAATTTAATATTTAATCTGCAGCTTGATAATGTTGAGCTGTAGCGAGTAAGCAATGTTTACATCTGCCGTGTAGCCATTTCTTGTTTGCCGATAGTTTGAATCTTTCCAACACTCTTTTGTACAATGAAATTTTCGTCAAACTTTTCTTGGCTCCACTTGAAGTGAATGATTTTAATATTTCGTCTTGGAATGATTAGTTCTGTTCTGTTAAACATGTTACCTCAATTCATTGCATGCAACGATTCAGGTCCAGACCCGGTATTGGTCTTGTTCCTGTATTGGAAAGATTGGTTTTGCATCTTGTTGTTTGGAAATTCGTGCTTTTCTTTTGGACCAATCTTGTTTCATTACCTTTGGAAAATGAGGGGAGTGACATTTGCTCCTTTATTATTCAAATTAAATTTTCAAAACAAACTACACTGCCCATGGTAGACACTCAGGATATCAATCAACTTCTATTTTTTTCGTACCACGCAAGCATCAAATTATTTTAAGTTTTTTTCATCCAAATCGCGAAACACTTTTAAGAACTTAAAATTATAGTTAACGGCAAAAGCTCTCAATTCTGCTTGATCAAAATACTTATTTCTTCAAAGTTAGTTCCCTTAGATATATTCTGTCATAATACAAATTGTAAATTTACAGTACTTTTTACATACAGATTATAAAAGGTTTCGACTAAGCGATAAGCCTGTTCAGAGCATAACATGCAAGCCAACTTCAACTATATCAATTAACAATGTATATGCGGAGGATGGGAAATGCAACAGTAGTACTTGTGTTTTAGAAGACAGTGACCATGCATTGATAAACAGCAGATGTAATGATTCTACGTCCTGTCTTCTAGATTTTAACCTTACATCTCCTTGCCTGATGGGAAAGCGACATTTTAATTTTGTTTATGGTTGCAAAGGTACATTTTATTTTCAAGTTGTTAAGATCTTACAATTTTCTTATGAGTAAATATTAAGAAGTAATTTCAAATGCAAGTTAAACTCATATTCATCGTACTTCGATTTTAAAGCATTACATTATTGTTTGCAATAATTTGCCGCTCGTGTTGTTTATTATTATTTTAATTTTAAAAATAATAATTTTGCTATTGAAATTTTGTTGAACGTCAGGTGTCAACTGTTTCGTACATAATTACAGAATTCGATTGAATTTTGAAAAAGAGATACGGAAGATAGGAATATCCAAACAGAAATCGATGAATAAAATGCCAACGTAATGGCATAAAACGAAAAACGACCAAAAGACAAGCAGCCGTATACATAACACAAAAAGAAAACTAAAGACTAAGCAACACGAATCCCCACTAAACTCTGTGGTGATCTAATGTGATCCGGAAAGGTAGACAGAATCAGCTCTGCATGTGCCACTCGTCGTGCTGCTCATGTAAATACAAACTCGATGATAATTCTAATTCGGTAATGTCACGTCCGAGGAAAAGGGGACGGGATTGTAGAAACGACACTTTGAACATATCTGTCGTCATCTGCGAACAAATACTCCATAACGGTCAATCAACTTGCGATGGCGTCCGTAAAACGTTGAATCAATTTAAATTCAAAGATAATCATGTTATGTCGAACACCGTTGCAAATAAGGATCACATAAGAAGTGTTGTATATTGCCTGCAATGCTTAGTGATACACAGTTCATATCTCTAAAAAATAAATGAATAATATAGCCACTCGGAGATGCGTTAAGGCATTGAATATTGACAACATAAGCTAGCCATGCCTTATCTTCATGGTAAAGGTCGAAAACCAAAGTTTACCGAAAAAACGACGATACTGTGGGTAAGTTACAGCCTCCGTTACCTCATGTTTGAAAATTTTAATGAAAGTCATGTAATCTATGTATAGCTAGTAAATCATTAAGTCAGGGAATTTGTTACCACAAACTACTTAAAACCTTTACTAAATTCTTTCATATAATCATAGATTGTGTTTCGAAATTTGGCTTTATTACGCACGGGATATCATAAAATTGTTCTAATTTGTACTGTGATGTTGTTTATAGAGCCAATAGATTAAGATATGAGTTATGAGAAGTTCTTGATCGTTTGAACTTCAAACTTAATAACTATTCTTAAATTTTATCGATCTAATGCCTTGGTATGTTCTTTAATTGATAGATTGATTGATGTTTGTTTAACGTCATACGATACGCTTTTTGAACATTGTCTTTATCAATACTGACATTGATTTTGTTATTTATAAATCAAAACATTATTATAATTAGTAGATATAAGAAGATGTGGTATGAGTGCCAATGAGACAACTCTCCATCCAAGTCAAAATTTATAAAAGTAAACCATTGTTATACATAAACACTTACGGTCCTACATTTTGTCAATATATTTATGTTGGCATTGCACAAGGTAATACTTTACTTCAATAGTTTATGTGTTACACTAAATCTAGTTGATGTGTACTGATGGATATTTCAGTCGGATAAAATGTGACTTCATTATAAGTAATGTTGTAATTGGCTTTCAACTAGCTTACAGTAGTTGTGGGTACTCTTCAATCTAACTGTGTGTCTTTTGTCTATTGCCGTTTTGCGAGTTTGTATTGTAGTTCCTGTCGATCTGATAAATCAAGCCCTTTCGAACTAATTTTTCAGTTGTTTTTTCTTTCTTGTGTTAGCTTTTACACGACTGTTCTATGTTGGGGAAGGGTTGAGTGCTCGCAAACATGTTTTACCCATCCACATTCTGTATAAAATTGAGAATTGATAATGAACACTCCAATTGGAGATTTGCGAAATGTTTTCCTTTTATGAAATGTCAGTTATTTTTTATTTAATAATACAAAAAGGATACCATTTTTTTCAAACACATTTGACAGTAACATGGATGACGTTTACCAAAGACCCCCGACTCATTAAAAAGCAGATGAAACAATGACAAACAACAAGAAACGACACATGTTTCAGATAGCTGGTCTTGGTACAAGCACGAAATGTGGTAGGGTTGAACCAGTTTTGCATGCGTACAACTTCCCCCTTTTTTGCCTATTTTAACTAGAGGTGAAAACAGTTATACACATACATTTTAAAAACTAGAAATTGATGGTACCCTGGCGGGCCATAGTAACAGGACAACTTGACATTGTTGTGTCTTTTGTCTTTTCAGAAACAGTTGTTGCCCCCAAATATTAACTGTTATTAAATCCGTTGGCAAATTCATGTATATTTCATTTGCGGAAAATTTACATAAAATCAAAATTCTAACAACATGCACACCTTTAGTTTATGTACTTACACTCTACATAATATACAAGTTCACGCTTGAAAACCGTAGTAGGAGTTAGTCGGATAAACTATGTACTTTGTATGCTTTATATTACTAAAAAAAGTTCCACTACCTTATTTTTGTGGAAAAATTGAAAGGAAAAACAATATCCTAATGATACATGTACCTTTAGTATATGTGCTGACACTCTACATAATATTCAAGATATAGTTTGAAAATTGTTTGAGGAGTAAGCAGGTTCCTTTGTGAAATATTTAAAGAAACTAAAAATCCTATAAACACCGTTTAATATACGTACTAACACTCTACATAATCTAAAAGGTTTTCCCTGAAAACCGAAGGAGCCGGTAAAACCAGGTACTCTGAAATTCTTGTATTTCTAAAAAAAATCAAAGTTCAACAACCCTACAAATGTACATTTGTTGAAAATTAAAACAAAATCAAAATGCTGACAAAATGGACACCTTAAGTATACGTGCTCACACGATACATAGTATTAAAGGCTTGGCTTGAAAACTGTCGAAGGACTTAACCGGACTAACCATGTACCCTTTGTGGGACGGACCGACAGACGGAAGGACAAGGGTAAACCCAATATGACTTCTGACATTTTGTTGCGACGCATTAACAAGCCTGCAAAGTACAACTACCAACAGTTTGACTACTTGCTTGAATAAGGAAATAAAAGACTTACATAATTTTCAAAAGCAGAGCCAAAATGTGCATGTTACTAAAGGAACCTATAAATAAAGTAGCTATACCTGCTGAAACAAAAACAAATACGAATGATCAGAAATATGCAACACTTCTAACTAGTTTCATCAAGTCTCAAAATAAAATAAAATGTGCAAATCGTCAGTATTTGTGAGAGGCCAGTAATTATTTGAAATCGTCAGTATTTGTGAGAGGCCAGTTTATATTTGAAATCGTCAGACCATAATAATTGATCAGTCAGGGGCGTTACTTAAGTCATAATTTTTAATTACCAATACATTTAAGTAATGTTAATATTTAAATTGCTCAATAGAGTTATTTCAAAATGTTAATAATACTTTATTTTCCAAAAACATTACAGCTTATAGGCATATAACAAAATATACATCAAATTTCAATACACACATAAATATATAAACAGTAATTACTAGCAAATAATATCGGTATTCAATTGTTTAATAACAGTAGCGGATCATGACACACACTATTTATGAATTACGAAGTTTTTCGGCAGCAAACAAATATTTCCCTAAATTATTTAGTTCTTTTACATTTTGTACTGATAATAACTGCATAAGTTTTAAACGGCTGAATGATTTCTCCATTAGTTTTGTTTTATATATCTTTTACGTATATCTTTATATTTCTTACATATTTAAATAAAATGACACTCATCTTCAATTAATTTATCGTTACATATTGTACAATATCTTTCATTCCTGTTTCAATCTGCAAACAATGTGCATGTATTCTATATGTACATATTAATAGTTTAGATACATACATTATGTAATTGACGGCTCTTCTTAAATAAAACTGTAAACCATGTGTATATATATTTGTAAAAAATACATTTAGATGTTTCTTCAAAAAAAGTTATTGCTTCATTTACAAAGTGATCAGTAAGTCGTTGTTTAAACTCAATGAGAAATTTATCTAGTACATAATATGTACCTTGGTTGAATCAAATATAATTAAAACCATGTGTATATAGCATATATCGTATTTTATAGCCCAATTCAGTCTATTGTGTGGCTTTTTACAAATAGATTATAACATGGTATCATAACATGTTTTTTAATATAAAATTATCTGAACTTGCTGTTCAGTGTGAGCCAAGGCTCCTTGTTGAAGGCCGTACTTTGACCTATATTTGTTTACTTTTTACACATTATGACTTGGATGGAGAGTTAAAATTGGCTCATTGGCACTCAAACCACATCTTCTTATTTTTATTAATATTTTAAACCAGTATTTCATTATTCTACAATATCTTTCAATATACATAGGAAATTTTCCCTAATTCAATGTAAATCATTTCATTTACTGTAGACTTCCTTACTTTCAAGGTTCGTTTTAAAAAAATTAAATGCACCTTTTCAATATCTTCTCCTTTGTGTGATCCCGGCCACAGTTCCCAACCATAGTTTAAAATACATGACACGTATGTGTCAAACAACGACAATAAAGTTTCATAATCATAATAATCATTCTTGATTTTACTGTACATACTAAACACTGCTTTTTGGCCTTGATTTGACAACATCTTAATAGATGATTTGGTTTAATGAAGTTTTTATGAATTTTTACATTTTATCACATAAAATTAATTTTGAAAGGAATTTACAGATAAAAGGTTACCTTAAACAATAATGTCAAAAATATTACTTCTATAAGATTTTGTATACATCTTTGGAATAATTAGAAGTTACAATTATATAAGGAACATCTGTAATTTTTGGGGTTATAATTTATAAATAACTTCAAGTCTCAATTACATCACAGGTTTCCATCTATGTATACCTGTCTACCCTCAAGATTTGCAAGGAAAATGCTATTTTTTAATAGTCCCAAGAGACCTATCTTTGACCCAGAAGCGTTGATATGAAATTTAAGTGCATCAAAAAATTTGATTGGTGCTAGTTAAATATGTATGAATGGACACCTAGTATGTAAATAATACTTAAATATTAAGTAGCATTTATAATAGCCTCGTTATCAAAATAACTTGTATAGGTAAATTTGAAAGTTAATTGTTTGAGTAATGCCCCTGACTGTTGATAAAACCATTTTAACTAATTGAATTTGGTAGTATATCACGCATGCAGACATAGCTATTGAAATATGAAACATTCCCAAATTCAAATGTATCATGTACAATGTTTAGTCCTATTTTCGACAATACAAGTACTGTGTAAGTCTGTAGTATTTGTAACACTGCTTGTTCATTTCTTATTGAATTATTTCTGTTATGTGTTGTTGACTTTTATTTTCTCATTAGAACCAGAAAGTTATGCATGCAATTTTGAACAGGACTTCTGCAACTGGTTGCCAGGAAATGATAACAGTACATTTAATTGGACAAGATTAAGGGCAGTCAGTCCAAATACAGATCAAACAACCGGTGAGGAATTGCAGAACGAAACTATATATATTTATACATAGTGTAAAAAGTTTGTTCTTTTTTCCAAGTGAGACATCGCATGATTAAATTCGTAGGTGATTAAAATGTTAGGGAGATTATTGAGCCAATACGTGCATAATATACTATAAGTCGTCTGTGCACGTTTTATTACGAATTCATAACATATAATCGACAAAAAATATTTAGCTTCTAACTAATTTTCGGTTTTTGGTGTTTACCGATCGAGACTTTAAGAAACAATCAACACAGAATCATGGAACACGTTATAATAAGCTAGATGATAAGGCAATACATTCATGCATGTATTTATTTGATGTTTTGTTGGTTTTTTTCTTACAATTTTCATGCGTTTCCATATGTTAATTAGTAAACATAGTTGCACAATGATTTGCTTATGATTTAGTTAATACTATTTTTCTTCAATATTTATATATTTGTCTTCCAACATGGTTTTCCCGTCGAAACTGCGATGTGCAGTTGTAGAATTTCTAACGACAGGAGCATTGTTAGGTCATTGCAACCATATTGATTGATTGACTATTTTGTTTTTAACGATACTTTCAGCACCATTTGCTATATCTTGGCGGTCATTTTTATTGGTAAAGGTAGCGTGAGTGCCCAGAGAGAACCACCGACCTTCGACAAAAACTTCAACAAGGAAGGCATTCAGTAAATTGCTAAAAATTTTGATAACATAAACGATTTTTCTTTTAAAGAAATGTCTATATACGTGCTATGTAGTACCTTCATAGCCTTTGCTGCAGTTAGCTTTTCATGAAAATGAGATTAAGCGTTTTGATCTTTTCCAATTTTCAAATAGTCGATATTGTGGTCCCAGTGTGCATGCATACTCAATGTCTCTTTGATATGCAGTGCTTGGTTCATTATAGCGACTGCTGCATGCGATATCAAATCCAAATTGAAATTCTGCCTTAGAAAAAAAAATAGTTTACCACCTGCTGATTTTATTGACGTCGAATGAACCTTTGGCAAATATGATTTACCAAATGGCAAACTATTGGTTATGTGTGATGCACGATAGGAGGACATAAACAGCCCTCGAAATCAAAGTTTTCTCGTGCCATTTAGTCCCTACTTTTGTGTATCTACATTTTGGTTATTAGCGTACAAGTATTTTGAATTCTGCCTGGAATCAATGATACTATTATTTTCTCAACACAGTCTTATTAAAGAGTAAACAGTTTTCCCAGAGACCTTGTATCAAGTGCTTTACATTTAGCAACTAGAATATAGTTAATGCTGTTTGAAGGGTATTATAATGTCTAACTAATATTCGCATTTTTGATGAATATGTACAGCAATATAATTTTAAAAGTGTATCTATCGTTAACCAAGTTAGAAATAGTTCACGATTTCATTGCCAGCCCAATTATTTAGTAAATACCGTTTTGTAGCTAAAACATGGCGGATAATAAAATGAAATGATTAATAAAGCTAGAAATTTCAACATTTCTATTTAAATGTAATCAGTTTGAGTATATCAAACCTGTTATTTGTCATCGCGGAAATGCTTCAAGATGTTGATCTCTTCAATTGGTTGTCATCTAGGTTCAGGCTATTACATCTTTATAGAGGGCAATGAGATCAATAGAAACAGAAAAGTATATGCTGAACTTTCCACTGGGTTTATAGTATCCAACAGAACACAATGTATATCTTTTTGGTATAACATGAAAAGTGTTGATTCACAGGATTCAAAACTTGAATTATACCAAATAGATGAAAATGGTAGACGTACTCAACTGAAAGAATATGCTTATAGTACAGAAGAAAGATGGATTCGAGAGACTGTTGATCTGCCAGGTACTGGGCCTTACAGAATTGTTTTTCGTGGAACAGTTGTTGAACGATGGACTGAGCACATTGGACTTGATGATATTGATATATTTCAAGGAAATTGTAGTGGTTAGTCTCGTCCTTTTGTTACATTTTTAGATCACCTTGTCCAAAGGGCAAAGTGAGATTTTCTCTTGGCATCAGTCGTTACCCGTCGTCGTCCGTCGTCCATTTTTTTTTTACAAAAGTCTTCTTCTCTGAAACCATTGGGTTAAATTTAACCAAACTTAGCCAAATCATCATTGGGTTATTTAGCACATATTTAGTTTAAAAAAAAATGTTTCCGATGACCGCGCCTGGCAACCGACATAGTCGACATAGGTTAAAATAGAATATAGGGGTAACATGCAAGTTTTGTCTATCATCTTGAAAACTGCTATAAATAGAGAAAATCCTAAATGTTCAAAATGTTGAGACATAAAAATTGTCCGTTTT